GGGTGCATCAGAACAGCCCATAAGTGCGCTGTGCCTGTAGATAAAGCAGACTGAGGGTCTGGGTTCTGCTAAAGGTGAAGGGGTCTCTGCCTTACGCATGTGTTGGTGGGCCGTGAGAGAGTGGTTAGGGAGGCAGACATGAACCTACGTAGTGCTGGACATTGGGGTCCCCTGGCTCTTGCCCACTAAGTGCAGGTCGTGGCTACACCATCATGAACCCCAAAAAGTTCCTAAATTTCCTACATGCCCCCCCCATTGCAGCTGCTCCATTGCTTGCCCCACAGCCATCCCAGAGCCAATTTCCCCAAGAGAACTTCACATCGGGACCCCAGGTTCCAGCCACCCTTGGGAGACGGGTGCACTGAGCTCCCGCCCGATTCCTCTTTCTTTCTAGGAAACCTTGGAAGACCTGGACAAGAACAAAGATGGCTATGTGCAAGTGGAGGAGTACATTGGTGAGTGGAACCCATTTCTGTGGTACGCCTGTCCTTCCTGTGCGTGGCGGCACCAGGTACATACTGTCTGTAGGAGAGCAGCCGCCCTCTGAAGTGGAGACGAGGACATTGCTTCAGTCCCTGCTTCACCTGGCGTTTACCCCGCACCTTCTGTTCAATTATTTATTTAATCCTGGTACTGGGGATTAAATTCGGGGTGCTCTATCATTTAGCCACATCCCCAGCTCTTTTATGTTTTGAGACAGGGTCAATCCTCCTGCCTCAGCCTCCTGAGTCTCTGGCTGGTGTATTGCTTTGGCTCCATTGTAAAGTAGAGCCATCTCCCCTGACCGAGATCACCTCCTTATCAGAGGTGGGCAGGACTTGAGTGGGGGCAGGCGGCCCCAAGTTCCCATCCTGACGCCCAGGCTGGGCCGCTTCCCTTCCCTGGGGGCTCCAGGGACCCATGGGTGGGCAGGACCCCAAGATCCCCCAAAGAAATGTAACTGCTCAAAGGTGCAAGGAAGCGAATGAGGGAAGAGGACTGAGCTCACCCCTGACCCCCTGGGGATGGAGTCAGGGAAGATGGGGGTAGCGGGGTGTCAGCTGTGAGCCTCCTGCCGTTCCCCACCTGCCACCTTCCAGCCCCGCGACTGTCACTGAGCCCCATAATGGCTCTGTGCCTTGGTCTCCTCATCTATAAACAGGGGTGATGCAGCCCCCGCCATGAGTACCCACACATGTGAGTTAACTCATGAGCAGGTCTTGGCCACGGACACATGGAATGGGAAACGCTGGCTTCTGTCAGGGTGATCAGCCTGGGTCTCCTCTTGGGGTGACAAAAGCATTAGATAGAAGTCTGGTTTCACGGCATTGTGAATGTACTAAATGTCAGTAATGGGAAATTTTGTTAAATGTTTTCTTTTTTCTTTTTTTGGTGCTGGGGATTGAACCCAAGGCCTTGTACATGCAAGGCGAGTACTCTACCAACTGAGCTACAGCCCCAGCCCCTATTTTTTTTAACCACAATTAAGAGCTGCACACAACTCCCACCACTGTGATCATTTCCTATAGGGAAGAATCAAAGCTGGCCTGGAGCAGTGGTGCAGGCATATAATCCCAGCGACTTGGGAGGCTGAAGCAGGAGCATTGCAAGTTCAAAGCCAGTCTCAGTAATAACAAGGCACTAAGCAACTCAGTGAGACCCTGTCTCTAAATAAAATATAAAATAGGTCTGAGGATGTGGCTCAGTGGTTGAGTGCCCCTGAGTTCAATCCCTGTACCCCCCC